GCGAGCAAAAAAAATCACCGCGAAAATGGGGGAAATCTTCCAAAATCCAGCGATTTCCCGAGTGGATTCTGAGTTTTCATCGGAGTTGCCATAGAAGTTCCCATCCTCTCGAGTTCAGCTAGCCTTCTGTCATCCAGCGGGCCTCATTCCAACAGGCTTTTGGTGCTGTGATACGTTGGGGAAGGGATGAACATGTTTTGGATATGGGGAATATGGTGATATTATGGGCAATTATGGGATGATATTATGGGATGATATTGTGAAGCAGGGTGATATTGCACATGTTGATATCAGGCCCCCTTAAAATATGTGTCCGAGGTCGCGATCAGTTTGAATTGCCAAATCATATCTAGATGGATGCTGGAAATGAGCGGGAAAGCCCTTGGTGCGACATCCATGACAATTCATGTGACCCTTGGTGCGTACTTTGGACAATAGCGGCTTTCCCATCACATGAAGGACTGGTTAGGAAATTGGTATCCCTTTTGTGGGAGTATTATATAAATATATACGTATATATATATATATACATTCCATATCCATGACAATTCTTCAACTAAGATTCCCACAGCAACCCCAAGATCAACAGCGAGGTTGTTACTATAAGGTGCTCAAAAGCACAACCGGTTGGGAAGGTGCTACTGCCCTATCCCTCGCATCAGCCACAGGCTACCTAGGCTACCAATGCCGCTGGTCTTTTCCGATCGACCGTTGACCACCGTTGACCACAGTTGACCACCGTTGACCACCGTGGATATATGTTTTTTTTCTTTGAGATGCCACAGGCAAATGAATACATTCCCATTTATGTGTGGGTAGACATAGAGTACATCATATATATATATACATAGATGCTTGCATACATAGGTAGGTAGAGACAAGTCCACACAGTATCATTGTCCAACTACTCAACTATCATTGTCATATCTCATTAGTATCCAACTATGCCTTTATCCTTATTCATTTATATTCATCAATATCACAGTATGTGTTATCATGATAGTCCATGTATAGATATCCATTTATAGATCATTCATTAATTTATAGACATCATTATCCACACAAAAAAACTGCCACCTGGAGCCCGCCAAAACCACACCTGAGGTTCACAGTCAGGCACTGTGCAGGGCCTGCGCAAAGGGCGCTTTTTTCAGCTGAATCGGATCGGCAAATCTTCAGATGGGTGCCACATTTTTGGAGGGGAATGTGCTCTGATGGATTTTTTCTGTGTTCAACTGAAGATCAGATGGGATAATGGGATAGAAATCAGTTGAACAATCAACAAAATTGGTCAATTGCTACGTGTAACCCCCTTCTGCATGTCTTTAGGGGCTACTCTAATTGGAAATGGTGATGCTCCATGCCCAGGTTTGCGACCCATTTGGACTGTGCACTGTTTTCCTTTTAGAACATCTATACAACCAATGATTGTGGGGAGATGCCCGCAAAATGAAGCATCTTTAAAACAAAGATAAAGCTCTAATGACTCGTAGATGAGCGTCACCTGCTAATCGATGTCTAGCAAGGTCTAGGAGTCTGACGCAGCATTTCCTTCGAGAATTCCAAGATACCCTCTGGTAAATTAACAGTCATCATAAATCATCTATAAATGGTTCATTTTCTATTGCTATGTTAAACAACCAGTGGTTAATCATCTATACCATCTGGTTATTTAACATAGCCATGGAAAATCACAATTTATAATAGGTAAACCATCTATAAATGGGCCATCTATACCATGGCTATGTTAAATAACCAGAGGGTAAATGGACCATTTTCAATAGCAAACTGTTAGTCATTACCAGGCCGGGTAATTCTCCAAGGACTTGCCAGCAGAAATCGCGCAGAAATCGCGCAGGGCCACCTCGAAAAACTGGGATGCACATTGCTTTCCCCAAGCAACAATAGGTTGGGATTAACTCATATATAATATGAATAATATATAATATATAATATATTATATATAATATATCATATATCATATATAATATATCATATATCATATATAATATATAATATACAATATATAATATATAATATATAATGTTTATGATATTATATATAATATAATATATAATATAATATATATATATGATATTATATATAATGTTACATGTATGTATATATATATATACCATATAAATTAGTTTGTGGTCGACTGACCTCAATTGACTGTTGACTCTCCACCTTTCTCGCCTCCGCTGGCCCCGGCAGGGGGCGAAGGCGCTCCTCCTAACGGGCCCCACGAATCGGATCCATTCAATAAATAATCCAGTTAATGATCATACAATGTGGGCCCCCTAGATAGCTAAGTTGGTTTATAACTCCAATAACTATGGTTTATTGTACTTATAACTATCGTTAATGGGGTTTATAAACCAACTTATAACTGGGGGGCCCCACATTGTAGATATGTTATAAATGTCTGGTTGGTGGTTTTTCATCCATTAATGGTGGTGAATCTCCATTTATAGTGATTATATATGATTATATATTTGGTTGGTGGTTTTAACCATCTTGAAAAATATGAGTTCGTCAATGGGAAGGATGACAACCCACATATTTTGGAAAATAAAACATGTTCCAAACCACCAGGAAAATTTACCCATAAGTCATGGCCAATCAGCCAGATATGCAAAAAATGAGAAATTCTTAGCTGGTGAACGTAGATAATCCCATAGCAAAATTGGGGGCCCCATCCTGTACCCATCCAAGGTTGACCTAGGTCCCGCTAAGCCAATCAACGGTCGGGGTTTAGCTCACTTGGATCCCCACGGTCTGCTGGGAGGCATGGCAATGCCTGCGCCGAACATTCGGAGGCATCAATTGGGGAAGATGTCAATCAAACAATGAACAAAGGAGGTGAACCATAGAGATATATCATATAAATCACTATAAATCACCAAAAAAATCATGGACTCTCCAATGCATAAATGACATAAATGTGCTGCTTTCAACATGTTTCACAGAAAGTTGTGAGTCAAAGGCATAAATTGCTGGGGAGTAGCTGCTTTCAACCATCGAAGTTTTGCTGGACCTCACCATATAGGTCCAAGTAGTCGAATCGTGTTCATCAGATTAACAATGATCATTAATTTGGATAACCCTTGATTATCATTAGTCAATGGTTATCTATAGTTTATAATCATTGTTGATCTAATTATACAATTTGTACTCATGGATTAGTTGGATAACCAGTAACCATTGACAGAATTAGTGGATAATCATGGTCACTGACCATAAACGGATACATTTAAGTCATGGTCAATGATTTCTATAATCACCAGGTCTGTTCGAGAGAACATCTAGAGACAACAATCTGATGAAATATCAGCAATGTTGAAAAATCCCAGGTTTGTTGATGATTGGAGGGGGTTATACTAGCCCTTGTATTATCTTGTATTGGGGAATCTCACAATCCATTGGGTAATCCCTATCAACCAAGAGGTAAAATGGGACGACACAGATTCTTTTCGGCTCATATGGAGGTGTCCTTCATCCAATTTGACGCAACAAAACCGCCCCTGCAATGAATGGTAAATGATGTAAAAATCGTTCATATGCCGGTAAAAAACAGAACTAGATGGATAATTGCATATGATTACATAGATGGGCACAATGAGCCAACCAATCGATCGGTAGATCAACCAATAGTGGTTGTTGGTGATAAATATAAATAGTCCACCCCCCAAGCGGGGAGATACCCCCAATAATTGCTCAGATTCGGCTAAACATGGTTGTGGGTGGTTACGCCATTATCCAACCTTTACGAAAAATCCAAAATCCTTTTCTTTGCTCTAGGATTTAATCCAAAATAAATCTCTGCCCAAACATTGTTGGAGGGGTTACCTTTGGAAGGTTCAAACCACCATACTGAGCATTTGCCCATAGAAACAGCACCCAACTCACTCTCGCCAGACTTTTCCTTCGACTTTTTAAGGGTGTCTGAGGCGAAAGGAGCTGAGGCGAAGGGGGATATCATCAGTGATAGCTGCTGCAAGGTTTCATATGTTCATGCTTTGCGCCTGTGAATATGTATATATACATATAACAACCTGCTAGCAGTTAGAATAATCCAATAATGTACTAGCCTGTCACTGAATATGTATATATATATAGATATAGATATAGATACACATGTACAATAATGTACATATGCGAAAGTTACTGATGAAAATCAACGAATTTTACGAGGCCCACTCGACCAGATTGGAGGCCCTCCCTCCGAACATTTCAGCGGAGCCATGGCTAGTTCGATGATTTACCCAACATGCTGTCCATAGCGAACTGTTAACATATTGTCCTTTGTTTATGTTGGTAAATTATGGGACATATAACTGAAGTTCTGTTAAATTACCAAAGGTATCCAAAGGTTATATTTAACAGATAACAGGTGATGGTGGAAAACCATATCCTGACATTTCCCAACATGTCTCTTTTCTTCTACAGATTTGATCGTCCAGTGTGTGGTTGAGTACAACTAGCAACATCCACCATGCAAATCTGTTGGTATCAACTAGTAGTCATAACCAGGCGCCATGCTGAATCATTCGCCTCAAACGTGCTTCCGCTAGGCCGACGATGGACGAACCACGTGGGGTTGTCCCCGGGAAAATCTGGATCCGCCATGGCTGGTTTCGCAAATCATGGGCATCTTTCTTTGAGATGACCGGGGATTTTTCAAAAAATGGTGAGGTCTTTTGGTTTTTTCGCATTTCCAAACACCCGCCAAAAGCGTTTAAAAGCGGGCTCTTTCGGCCCCAGACTTGCCACTTGTGGATGTGATGGGATTCCTGGAAAAGCCAACGGAAAAACATGCACCTCCTACTTGAATTGACTCCAAAAAAAAGCCAAGAAAACCCATGTAAATGTGTATATATATATAAACATATCATACTCTAGCAGAATCCGCTCAAAGATTCACATCCTGATTTTTGCAAAGATTTCTTCAAAATTGCAGCAGAAAATCCAACACCGGGCAGGGGCCCAGAGAGGCCCGGCTAGGCGTTTTTGCCATCAGGCATCGATGCTTTGATCAGGGCAATCAACCTGGGCCAATGGGTCTCAGGAAAGTTCGATCAGGGCCGAAAAAAACGAGAGGTTTCTGTTGCTTTAGCATTTATCACTATCGACTATATATATATATATTAAGTGTGGTTTATAATTCAATGAATCTATACTATATATAAAGATTAATATCATTTAATATCATTTAATATCTATAGGTGCAATGGGGTTATAAACCAACTTATAACAGGGGGTGGTCCTTCCTAGACATGGGAAATGAGCTCCCCTACAAACTAGTTCCTATCTACGTGCTATTCTTGATTGTCGTTGAAGAAATCATTGCTTTACCGTGACATCGAGCGGCAGTTACCCTCTGGTAATTTAACATAGCTATTGAAAATGACCATTTATAGTTGATTTTCCCATTAAAAAATTCCATGTTCAATAGCTATGTTAAATTACCAGAGGGTAAAAAAGGGAGCAAATTCTCACAACCACCACTGATCATCGGGGGTTCCCACCCTCTCAGAGGTCAACAGAAAGGTCTCAAAATGGGCGACACCGTTGATTTGATAACCAACAAACAATTAATGGGTCCCCATTTCTATTTGTGTTGAATTTTTTTAGCATCGCTTGCTGTAGCACCTGATTGCTTTCGTCCTTACCTGTTGCCAGCGATATCCTTCCTTTACTGGTCGGTTGATGAACGCAGGGTACCCCATACTTTCACAATCCTTGTGTGATGATAAACGGTTTGCCAAACATGATGCCTTTCTTTTGGCCAAAGGACATGAGAAAGAGTCCAAAACCCATTGTATTCCCACATGACTGATCAGATGAACATCTATAATTTATAGATACCAGCTGAATTTCATGTCTCAACTACACAAAGAAGGGGGATTCTGGGGAGAATTGACCAGAACCATCCCGGAACCCGATTGATTGAACATTTTTTCCACCCATTTTTTGGTGCTAAAACACACTGGAGAAATCACCTACAGGTGCCCATGTCCAATAGATATCTTTGGCCCAAGCCCAAGCCGACACTCTCCATGAGCGCTTCGTTCAAAATCAGATTCCAAGGCTCCAAGTTGGATTGTGATCCACAAAGTGACGCTAGAAGTCCCTACAATTCGTTCACCAAAAAGTGTTTCGGAGCCACTTCTCACTTGTATCCATAGAATTCCATACATAGCCATACCCGCATCATCGGTACAATTTCTTTTGACCTCCCCAACGTCAATCTCCCGGTTTGCCCCGTTTTTGACAAGCTTCCCTTGAAGACGTTGAGACAGACTGCCGTAGAGTAGCAGATTGAGACCTTTGCCTTGGTTCCAGCAACAAGCACATGACGCACCTGTTGCCAAAAAACAAGGTGTTTTAAGCAACCGACATTTGGGACGTCCGCAACAATAACGACAACGACAACGACAACGACGACCACAACAACAACAACAACAACAACAACAACACAACACCAACAGCAACAGCAACAGCAACAGCAACAGCAACAGCAACAGCACCACCAGCAGCAGCAGCAGCAGCAACAGCAACAACCACCACAACCACCACAACCACCACAACCACCACAACCACCACAACCACCACAACCACCACAACCACCACAACCACCACAACCACCACAACCACCACAACCAACAACCAACAAAAACAACCAACAAGCAACAACAACAACAACAACACGCAAAAACAACCAAGAAACACAAACAATCAACAGTCAACAGTATAAAAAACCTTATCTTTGCTGCTTCAATAGCCTTTTTTTTGCTGCTTATACATTTGCCCCATGTTTGTGGCTCCTTCAGCACAGCAACAAAAGAGCTCGCCCTTTCCATTGGCTGGATATGCAATGGCCGGAGGAATGCTGGGCCTGGGGGCGCGGCTTCACCATGAAAAAATCCCACAATTTACAGCGTTGAAAAACATGTTGCCACATCAAATTGTGAAGCTGTTGGGGAAATAACAGTGGCATGTTGGGGCTGCAGGTGGGGTGATATGTTCTTTAATCATGACTGTAACCACCAGAGCTTGGGATCTAACCCTTTTAACTATGGCAGCCTGGCAACCCATTTGCGATCGTTTTCACCCGCAGTAAGCATTCAATGAAAACTTGGAATCATATGAGTTTGTGACAAGACTGGGTATCCGAAATGGAACGCTGAATAAAATCTTAACAATGACTCGTCAATCATCGATCCGTTGGTCTTAGGCAAAAGATGCGAATCTTATGCATACCCACGACTGGAAACATATTTTTCAGCTTGTCCTCCCGAAAAAAATCAGGAGGACAAAGTTTTTACCAAACGCAAACTTGATTTCACCAACAGAATATAGGGGATTCAACCACCAAAACAATCTGGGCATCAGTTTCCCAAAAAAAAATCCTGGGGATTCTTTGATAGCCAGAATTGGTTTCAGGGAACATCAACAGGAACATCCAATCAATTTGATGGTAAAATCCAAATTTCCGGTCAAAATTTTCCTGCAAATGAATCTGTTGAATCGCAAAGTGGCTTTGGGATTCAATCATCAGATTCAATTTGGCAATCAATTTGGTGGTTAAATCACCCCTCCGAATTGCCTGGTGAAACCTTCTCTTTGGCAGGGTTGCCAGCGCCCCAGGTACGTTTGGGGGATAAAATTGGCTAAATAGATAGATATGGAAAAGCAGCAGCATCACCGATGTCCCCCATTGTGGTGATCATTGAAAAAAACCTGCCCCATAGTTAGTTTGCTAAGTTGGTTTATACCCTCTGGTAATGAGTAACAGTTTGCTATGGAAAATAGCCATAGAAATAGTGGATTTACCCAGCTATAAAATATGGTGGATCTTTCCAGTTCGTTACGTTCTACGTCACTACCAGGCCGGGTAACTTTGTTTAACTCCAACCGTCGGCTAAAAACGGTGGTTTTCTCCAAGGCACTTCAGGAAGGATGCACGGTTCTGTACGATGGACCGCTCATGGCCTCATTGCACTGTCTATAGAAGAATGATTACAACCATATGTTGACGAATAACAATATTAAATGGATATGTATATATATATATATAATAATGATGCATATATATAATCATTAATATATTTTGTTTCTATCGTGTGTAATCATGAATCATCATCATGATACATGATGATTTTTCCTAGCTCTCTTTTGATTAAAAAAAACTACATTGGGAACGATGGGATTTGAATCTTCAGGACCCTGGTCTGTTTGAAACAAGAACTGCATGACCCGAGCCTAACCTGCAGCAGTTGCTAAAACATACCCTCTGGTAATTTAACAGTTTGCTATTGAAAATTGCCATTCATAGTTAATTGACCTATTAAAAATGGTGAAAGTTCACGAATTATGCTAGTTTACCAACAATCATTTTGTATCCCAGTTATACGTGGAATATACGTGGAATATCCCCTGTTATATGTTTGATACAACTCCCACTTCCTGGGATAAGCAACGAAGTAGTGGTGATATGTCTTTTTTAATCGAAAAATTGCTGGGATGTGTGGATGGTTCATCCCAAATATCATAAGAATAGATTTCGAGCCATCCCCATATTATATTATGCTACCCTCTAGTAGATGTGGATTAATGCACGAAATATTGGGGTACAAATTGCCCATATTGTATGATGTGGTACATATGTGGTACATTCAAAGTTGTCTTGAAAAGCACAGAAAAGCTCTCATCTGGCGTACAATGATATTCTGCTACCCTCTAGTAGAGGGAAGCTATGAAAAATCACCAATTTTTAATAGGTAAATCAACGAACTAAATGGGCAATTTATGGCGATGCTATGTTACTTAGTGATAGTGATGGTGCCCTCCAATCAGCTTCCCATCTATCCCAACCTTTGTGGAGTTCCAAGTGAAAAAATCCCAGTTCAATCACGCTTATCCCAGCTACCATACGCATATCATTCGTGATTTCCATGTGTAACTAATGTTACCCTCTGGTAAACTAACATAGCTATTGAAAATGGCCATTTATAGTGAGTTTTCCCATTAAAAATTGTGGTTGTCCATAGTTATGTTATTTTACCAGAGGGTAATTATCTCAATGCGAATTCACGTCATGGTAATTCTCTTACAACAATGTTCATCATCTTAGTGGTGACTATCCCGTTAAACGTCATATTTTTATTATCCCTCTCATCTTAGTTAATGATTAGTTATAACTTATCCCACTATACTTATCTTAGTTAACGTGATTCACTTAATGGTGACTATCCTATCCTTATATATTACCAACATTTAACTCATCTTAGTTGCACGGTCCTGTTTTCTCTCATTAATGTTAATCATGCCATTTAACATGCTGGAAATCAGGAATTTTCTGCTGGAAATCCGCCATTTGGGTTTGTCTGAAAATTTAGGGGAAATACAGCCACTAATTAAATATACTGTAAGATTTGTTAATATCTCATCAATATCCATTATATCCCATTATATCACCGGTAATCATCCCAGTAATCCCATCAATCATTAATCCAATGAGGTAAACCATATGACAACACCATCCCCGTTTCATTGGTCTATCATTAGGATGTTTGTTTCGAGTATACCTGGTTGGTGGTATACCTACCCCTCTGAAAAATGATGGATTTCGTCAGTTGGGATCTGTAAAATTCCCAACTGAATGGAAAGACATAAAATTTCATGGTTCCAGTCACCACCAACCAGTATATCTCATTAACCATTATCAACCACTATTAAACCATTATTAACGATTATTAACCACCATTATTGCTGTTCCAAACCACCAACCAGATACTGTCTCATAAAACACCCCAATAGGATCTATGTGGAATGATGGTTCCATACCCCGCAACAGGGATGGTTCCAATATCTGAAAATGCTGTGAATATCGTATTATGGATTTTCATAAATAAATCGTAGTATGGATTAATCCCACTAATCCCATTATCATTAAATGATGATAACACATAATTATGGGATGATTCATAGATGTCCATTGCTCCCATTGCTCCCATTCATCCCATTCATCCCATCGTGATCATCCCAACAAAATCCTATGTATAATATTGTGGTGGCAATCAGAAAAGCTGATGATTTCCCATTTATCCCATTCATCCCATGAATATCCAGTTCATGAACATACTGTGGATGGACAAAATCACCAGTTGGTAGCTATTGGTAACATAACTCAACAAGTTAACAATGGGATTACAATAGGATAAAACCATCCAGGCAGGATTTTTTCCGCAACCGCGAAATCCTGGGTTTATCATTGAGATTAGCCTCTGGTAAACTAGCAGTTACCGGTGTTCATAGATCCCCATAGTTGAATCACCATATTTCTATCATGGATAATACTAACATATACAGTACTACTGTGGATGGTTGCGAAATCCTGCACCAGTTGATAGGTGGTAAACATCCCATTATTTACAGGGCTTCAACCATCCCAAATTGGTGATGCAGGATTTCGCTGGCCCATCCACAGTAACAATAGACTAAAATCTATCATGGTTAGTTTACCAGAGGTTACCACATTCGACTCCATTTTGAGCCACCCGAGACCCCCAGGGTCTCATAAAACCGCCGGAGGACAGAGGCCACGAAGACCCTCCGGTCCAGCGAAGCGTCCGAAGCCAGAGTCCTTCCGCAACGGCCCTTTGTGGTCGTTAAATTGGGAAAACTATTGGAAAAATGTTTGGAAATCAACAAAAATGAGTTGGGAAAGTACTTGACATGGAAAATTTGACACGTTGAAACTCGGTAATATGTGAATTTCGACTGTGTAATATGGTGTTAATTTTGGAAAACTGTTGGGAACATTTTGGGAAAATGATGGGAAAGTGATGGGACGATCAGGCGTTGCGTTGTTTGTTGTTCTCGTGGGGGGAAAATGGAGGTTCGGACGGATACAGATTGCCACCGAAAGATTCATGTCTCCAACGATGGGAGACTTCGGATGGAAAAATCAGACTTCTTTGAAGCGAAAAGTTCGGTGCAAGCCCTGCATTGAATGGCATTGAATGGCATGTCAAAATCTGTCTCCACTTTACATCAATTTACCTTACAGTACCCACCAAAAAGATAGAAAAGTAATGTAGCACTATTTATCGGATCTGACGGTTCAATCTTAAAAAGGGGGGTTACTGGTTTTTCACCAATCCCATGATGAAAAAGATCCCAATCATTTTGGAAAGCGTCATCTGGGCTCCAAATACCTCCTATCCCAGTTATGACCACCCGCCATATCCCAGGCTTCAACAGTTCCACCAGGTCTTGGTCAATTTAAGGATCGTCTTTAGACGGAAATTCTATGAAAATCGTACGAGTACTGGTGCGTTTTACGCAGGGAATGAGGGAATGATCCACAATAACTAGCAATAATTATCCTATTCCCCCATTATCCCATTCCCATCCATTCCCTACGTTTAGCACCAGTAAGCTCATGAATATGTGAAAGCACACAGCAACGGTGTGTGTGTGTGTGTTGTGATCCTGAATCTATGGATTCAGATGTTGCTCTTTCCCTTGATCCAATCTGGTTTTTTACGGGATGGTTGTTCCGGCTTGGTCAATTTTAGGGGATGAGTTGTCATTTTTTTGCATCACCTAAAAAAAAACAAAGACAGATTCGGAAAAGAACCACGGGTTGGGGGATACATCTTGGCTAAATTGACGTTGATGTCCCAAAGAAAAATCATCAAAGGATAGGTCAACCTTCGCAAGCCGGTGGAAGAGGAACTTCGCCATGGATAGTAACTGGGGTACAGTTCCCCTACAATTGGAGTAAATGGGTCTGAAGATGAGTCTTTCAATTGGACCAATGATTTTCCACACCATGAGATTTTTTTCCCCAAATGATTTTAGCACAAACCCATATGAACGAACGTATTTTAGATGCCAGCGCCAAAACGCGCCGCAACGCAGCACAGCCTGCCTTGTAGCCTCCAAAGGGCAGACTTTGGCTCAAATACGTGGTGCCCTGCAGCAGTTTTGCTTCGAAAATCCATGGGGACCTGTTGTGCCTTCCGCTTAGCCATGGAAAATGGTGAGTAGACCAGGCAAAGTGATGGACTTACGGGATATGATTAGAAGCAAAATGCTGGATCAACCCATGCTTTTTTGTCACCATCCCAGTAATCTGAAAAAATGATTTCCCAGGTCAAGCCATGACCTAAAAAGCTACGGCAGCTACGAAATCTCAACCGCTCAGGGATGGTTTGTGGCTGTCTTTTTTGCCAAGAAATGGTATTATCCTATGGATACTTATTAACATATGGTAAGTTGTAGCCGAAATTACATGACCTACTGTGGATGGGCCAGCGAAATCCTGCACCACCAATTTGGGATGGTTGAAACCCAAAATCATGGGATGTTTACCATCTATCAACTGGTGATTTCGCTGGCCCATCTATCCACAACAGTATCGGTGGTATGTTTCGGCCTCGACGTCGTTCACGCTCGCCATGCCTGCCTGGGATCCAGATCGATTTTCGAAGTGATGGAATCACAGGGAAAGTCCTAAAATATGGCTGATCATGTGACATAAATCCCTACTAATGGATTGACCATCCTCCAATAATTGGGTATATGATGGTCTATTGGTGGTTTAATGATGGTTCTACACTCCCGTAATTCAACAAAGCTATGAACAATTGATAATCATGTGACTGTCTATTTTCAGATACCCGGGGTACCCGGCCTGGTAAACATTCAAAGTTAGCGAACATTTGTTGCCATGGCCCAGTCGAAATAGTGGATTTACCCAGTCGAAATAGCATGGTGATTTTCCAGTTCGTTAAACGTTTACCAGGCTGGGTACATGAAACCATCCAAAAAAGGAGGGCCACAGACCTTTTCTTGTTGCTCGATGACCGGTGTTCAAAAAAGCAAGGTCTTGATTGAAAAAAACACCAACCCATGCACAAATAATTTGACAATCATCAAAAACCCATTTGAAAATCATCAAAAACCAGGTTGATAGTGTTTTCTAATAGGTTGATGATATTTAATTGAAGTTGAATCTATTTCACCGGTCAGTCTCCTCTGGTCACCTCGTGCATGGCTGGTTGGATGTTCATTAAACCTCCCATCAAACTACATTGTTAGTATTAGGTAATGATCGTTCTGCCATAATGATGCTTCAAAGCGTTGAATGGAGATGTTAATCCCAAATATATATATATATATATAATACCCCCTGGTAATCTAACATAGCTGTAGTACTACAGGGAATCACCTTTTTTGATAGGTAAATCCTCTATGAATGCGCCATGATTATCAATTCTTCATAGCTTTGTTGAATTACGGAAGTGTAGAACCATCATTAAACCACCAATAGACCATCATATACCCAATTATTGGAGGATGGTCAATCCATTAGTAGGGATTTATGTCTATGTTTGGATTCCCAATATTGGATGGACAGAAACCAAATAAAAATCATGCTTTGACCCTAGCACACATGGCTAGCTGGGAAATCCCTTATAAATGGAGATGTTACTGGAAAATCATCGAACAAAAAAAGCCGGGCTTTCCATTGACATGTTTGATGGAAGGTGCCATACTGGGATGTAACATATGTAACCATCAACAATGGCGGTAAAATCCCATTGCCAATCTTAGATACCCTGCAAAAAATTAAATTCTTTGCTGGTTAGTAGATATTCCCATTAATACCAAAAGACTAAAGGATTAAAGTATCCATGTAAGAAATCCATCCATCCATGCACAAACCCATCCCAGCACTGCCTGAAATTGTTGGCACAACTTGGCTGCGCGCGTCTCATCCCCACTATGGGCGCAGCTGGAGAGTGCGAAGCAGCAGGCGTTCGCCAAACGCACTGCCTGAACTCACGAAAACGGAGGGTTTGCCACAAAGATGTAGCCATTTCTATAGGGGAAACATGGGAAAACATGACGATGAACCATCAAATATCGCTAGAACGAGCGATTCGTGGTTAGTGTTCATGGCTTATAACAGATTAATAGTGGTAGTCAAATTTCAAATTGTGATCATGACAGTATATAACATTAAAACACCTTAAAACTGGTAATAGTTGTTACAACTAAGATGTCTTGGGATATAATATGATATGCACCATGCAGTGACTAACCACTTAGCTACAGGATGGTGCCCCCCAGTTATAAGTTGGTTTATAAACCCCATTAACTATAGTTATATCTACCATAAACCATAGTTATGGGAGTTATAAACCAACTTAGCTAACTATGGGGCACCACCTTGTAATTCCGACAACATTTAAACATGGATCTAGGGTCAGCAAGGAAATACCATGAGGAATCATGCGGCGGTCTTGCTTTGCATAAAATTGGTTGGGTGTTTTTGAGAAAATAGTACCCCCCAAAAAAAAAGAGATGGAAGTGAATGTTCCCTATTTAGTGGTGATTTACATTTCTATCTTTCAGGAAACTTTCAGGTGACTCTTAAATAACGGCACTCTTGTTGGATGGAAGTTTGACTCATGCCCTTTGGCTGGGGATGTGGCCAGGAAAGCCTTTCGAAAAAGGAATTGCACAACACTGCACAATCAGGGGCCAGGCCAAAATGGGATAGTGGAAGATTGTAATGTTCAAATGATTCAAGAACACCGTCATGTCATATCCAGAATCTGTGGGCAACGTTGAGACTCAAGTTCTTTGGCCCATGGATCTGTGGGCCATCGCACCGAGTCTTAGGAATGCCCTGAGACAATTTGGTAAGACAGGTGGAAAATTGGTGGAAAATGAATTGCTGTTTTTCAATGGGTCAATTCCACACCATTCTTCATAGTTGTTAAAAAATGTTAAAAAGGTCAATGCACGAAACAACCCTCGAACCATTGGTACTACAAAGCATGAGTTCGTGCTGTCATTTTAGACGCCAAAGATCTTCTAGCCCTTAATCTTAGCAGCAGTTGCTCCTTCAAACCCTTCTCTCCAGTAGGTTTTTCTAAAGACCCACAACTTACTGGTGCGTTTTACGCAGGGAATGGATGCGAATGATCCACAATGAGTATCAAGTTCATCATCCCAGCAACCACCAGCAACCCATCCATTCCCTGCGTAAAACGCACCAGTAAGATGATGGGACCCCTGCAGCGAGGGTCCCATCATGAAGGGTTTCTCAACAGAACACCTAACTGCCGAGGTCAAGTATTAAAGAAAACTGATGTACATGATGGTCATGTCTTTAACCTTACATCCGGTTTAATTGATTTTCAACATCTGGCCGGACAGCCTCCTGATCAGCTTGTTCCCCAGTGCCCTTCACGCGAAAAATGGACAGGATGGGGCCAAAGGTTTCCTGGCAAGGTGAGCAGCCTGTTTTTTTGCACGTTCTCAGGTGGATTATGATCATGCCCCAAAAATATTGCTAACGGGTAGATATGGGTAGAAAATAATCCCCAAAGATCTCCAAATTAGTCAACCAACATCAGTTAATATAGTTTATCAATGATCATCTGCATATTTTGCTGGTTAAAACCCATATTTCTACCCCTTTTTTCATAGTGATATCCCTATACAATCATCAACCAGCAGGGGTTAAACAACTACTGCTCAGGTGCTAGCCTCGCTAAGTTGGTAAGTGGCGGTTTCCCCGAAGAACCGTGTGTTATGTAAGGATTCTTCACCACCGTAGGGAAACAACCATTTATTTCTGGTTGTCTGGTGTTTCAGGAGTTTATGGTGATGAAATAAAGTAAGAATTTGAAACCATCCAAGATGGGGTGTCAATAATTTTGGACAATGATTGTTTTCCGGTTTTATGTGTTCTTCGTTGGTTTTGTTCTATGCTCGTATGTTTGACGTTTGTAGATCCCAAATATTGTCAAAGGAAATGTAACTTTAAAGAATGAACCTTGCAAACGATCCCACATGGACACATCATGTTCCAACATGCCTCCTGAGCAATGAGCATCTCCTCTGTCACGTCCGCTAACACGGTCGGCTCAAAAAACTGCCCCTGATCCGATTGGTGCTGGGAAAATCGTCTTGGTGCCACAAACCAGGTCGGGTAAAGTCAAGATAACTTGTGGGTGACCCAACCCCATTTTTATTGGACCCCATTAAAAACATGATAGAATCAAAGGGAGACAATGCCAATGTCTGCCTCCATAGGCTTGAGGACAAGGTTGTATTTGCACCCATGTGACCACAAAAATCCTGTTTTCATGGACGTAGCAAACACTAAAGTAGTTGGATCCATCTTCAGGTTTTTGCAAAGCAGTGGGTTTCACCAAATTTCACTCCATGTTTGTCCCTTCATGACTAAACAAACCGGTAACAGAAGGCATTTGTTTTTTGGAAATTGTAGCTGAAAGGATTGGATAGAAAACATGAATTACAATGATTTGCAAAGGTTTCCATCAAA